GTCCCTTAGGCTCGTTTAAAACTCCCGATGCTCGTTTCGACCATGTTCATCTGGATTTGGTAGGACCTTTACCAGATTCAAATGGATACTCTTACCTCTTAACCTGCGTAGACCGTTTCACTCGATGGCCAGAAGCAGTACCTATCAAGGACATCACTGCTGAAACAGTGGCCCGCACATTCGTCGAACGATGGGTAGCAAACTTCGGCTGCCCTTCAACCATCACTACAGACCGCGGACGTCAGTTTGAATCTGATCTTTTCCGTCGTCTGACCACACTTTTAGGAATCACTCGCTTCCGAACGACCGCCTACCACCCACAAGCAAACGGGTTGGTAGAACGTTTTCACCGACAACTGAAAGCTTCACTATCAGCTGCAAACGTTTCACAGTGGACCGACGCTCTTCCACTCGTCTTACTAGGTATCCGCAATGCAGTGAAAGCTGACATTGGATACACTGCGGCTCAACTCGTTTATGGAACGACACTTCGACTTCCAGGAGAATTCGTGGATCCTTCGTCGTCTTCAATGAACATGGATCTAACCTCCTACACGAACAGGCTTACAAACGCAATGCGTTCAGTTAAACCTGCTTCCACTCGACCTCAATCAACTGATGTTTTCGTTCAACCTGACTTACGATATAGTACACACGTCTTCGTTCGCCGAGACTCACGTCGACAACCTCTCGAATCAGCACACGAAGGACCCTTCAAAATTGTACATCGCAAACACAAGTACTATATAATCGATCGCCTCAAACTAGTGTATTTAGAAGGAAATCCTATCTACGTCGATTTTCTTTCGGTACAATCGAACGACACGACTCCACTCATAATTCCTCAACCGACAACCAACACTGGCGATGATACTCCGAATGTATCTGAAAACAAACTTAAAACGACGCGTTCTGGAAGAAGAGTTAGATTTCCAGAGCATTTAAACGACTATTGCACGTAAGGCACTACTAGACATTTAATATTATCTCTATCTTTCTTTTTACGATATATATTTAAAAAAAAATTTTAATATGCTTATATATTTTTATTTCTTATTCCAAAAAAAACATTATAAATTTTTTTAACGACATTACGTGTAAATTAGTTTACATTCCATTTTTTTTCGCCGACATTGTGTTTTTACGCACATGCACTTACATTTTCTTTTTTCTTTTCCAGGACGACTGGAAAAGAACCATGACGTTTGTGAGGAACTGAAATTTTCATTGTACATTATCTTTTTTTACTATGCTGTACCTCGGTCCTATATAGTAAGGAAAAACGACCAGACGCTGCTAATCCTAGCAAGCTATCAGAAGAGTGTTTAAAAACGACAAACTCGCTGGGTTTAAACTTCTGGCTGGCCACGTCTTAGGGTCATCACTAACCCACTAGGGGGGGAATGATCTGGAACGGTAAATAAATCCCCAAATAAATAGCCCTGCAAGTTTTCGACATTGGATGCTGACCATATGTTTTAGTGGACTCATCTAGCTGAAGGCGCTCGGTCAGGCATCCGCACCAGATCACGTGTGGTAACGCTGTGCTCAACATCAACCGCAATCGCTAGCCAGATTAGATAAGTGAAATTCCGATATATTGGTAATCGCCAAATACACTCTTCCGATCTCCTCGACTCTGTTTATTGATTTCTCTGGGTGGGAACCAATTATATTAGAAGGTGTTACTGGTAAAAGCGTTGACAAACACTGAATACCTGTGACATCATCATCACCTCTTCATACAAACAAGGAGATCTGGTGAGACTGTCCAGAGAAGCAAAGAAGCGCCTACAAAATGAGAATCTAATGCATCCGGGATCATTAAAACATCCTTCAAAACGAAGGGATTACAGTGAACGATATTCAGTCCCACACCCACACCAGTGATAATAGTGGAGACAATAAAGATCAGTACAATGAGAGGCTGCAATCGGTCGTAGATAAGTGCCCAGAAAAGGACCTGACCATCCTTATAGGAGAACTAAACGCCAAGACCGGAATGGACAACATCGAGTATGAAGATATCATGGGACAACATGGACTGAAGGAAAGGAACAAGAATAGCGAGAGATTTGCAAATTTACGTGCATTCAACAAAATAGTTATAGGATGCACTATATTCCCCCACAAACGCATACACAAAGCTACATGTGTCTCTGCAGATCACACTAAATAGTACGAGGTCGATCATATTGCATCACGAAAAAATTCAGAAGACCCGTGAAAGTCATGAGAACATAAATATAAGCTGGCTTAGGTTCATATAAGTATCTGCTGGTTGCCAAAATTAAACTGAAACTGAAGAAGAACTGGACAACTGGAGAAAGACCACTACAAAGGTTTAATAAAGCCTTCCTTTGAGATACTAACAAACTCAACGAATTCATGATAGCTCTCAGCAACAGGTTCCAAACTTTACAAGATCTACACAAAGAAAAAGAAACTACTATGGAGGACAACTGGAGAGGGATTTAAGAAACAATAGTCTCGACGTGCTAGGAGGTTCAGGGCCACAGGAAGCATCATCATAAGGAATGGATCTCCATCGAAACCCTGAGTAGCATTCAAGAAAAGAATGACAAGACAACAATCAACATCAGCCGAACAGGAACAGAGAAAGTCAAGGCACAAGCTGAACATACAGAAGCAAACAAGCAAGTGAAGAGAAGCATTAGGGCTGGCAAGCAGAAACACGTGGAAGACCTAGCAATAACAGCGGAAAACGCTGAAAGAGAAGGAGATATGAGGCAACCGTATGACACAACAAAAGATCTAGCTAAGAAATATTGTAAACCAGAATGACCAGTCAATGACAAAGAAGGCAGGCCAATCACTGAGATTCAGAATAGAAGAACGGATGGGTAGGACAATTTGAGGATCTCTTCAGTGGACCAGATCCATTGATTCCACTGGATATCGAAGCAGCCTACACAGACCTTATAGGTGCCACCCAACCAACGATCACAAAAATCACCACGACTATCAGACAAGTCAAGAAAGAGAAAGCAGCAGAACCTGACAATATGCCGGCTGACGCACGAAAGCCGGACATAGAAGTAACAGCAAACATGTTACAAGTTCTATTGAGGAGGATACGGGAGGAAGATCAAGTGCCGACAAGTTGGAAAGGGGGATACCTTATGAAGATATGGAGGAAAAGAAATCTGAGACTCCACACTACCAAATATACCAAGAAATGTTTCCAACAGTGTTGTCGAACCAGATGAAAGATTCAGAAGACGCTCTGCTTTGAAATTAACAGACCACATTCCATAAGGACCGGTCAATTTACGACACTACGGATTTTTGTTAAGCGGCCGTCTGGATGAGACATATTACCATACATCAAATTCCTTGAATATGAGAAAGCATTTGGAAGCGTGGGTAGTATAACATTATGCAATTTTCTTCTCCTATGTGTTGTGCTTCAGAAGATCGTCAACATAATTGGGAATTCATAGGACGAACCACATTTCAGAGTGGTGCATGCAAAACAACAGACAGACACATTTCAAGTGAGAACTGTAATCTGACACGGCTTTTTACTCTCTTCCTTCCTCACGTATTACAACTGACGGCTCGCAATAAACTTGGCGATTTGCACTTCGCACTCGTCCTGACCGCCCTGTCTCATACATACCAACAAATGCAGATGAAGACAGCCAGTGTAGCAGCAGTCTGTGCATCGTTAGGCCTCAAAATACACAAGGAAAAAGTCGAGGTCCTCAAACACAACGTGCAGTCCACCAACCTAATCATAATTGATGGAGAAATTTTGTGAGAGTTGGAAATACTCACGTATCTGGGTAGCACCATCGATGAATGAGAAGGGTTTGATGCTGACGTGCAGGCGAAGATCGGCAAAGCAAGGACTGCATTCCCACAGTTGAACGACATATGGAACTCAGAACAATTGTCAACCAATATCATAGTCAGAATCTCCAATACGAACGTCAAGACAGCTTGTTATATTGTACGGAGCTGAAACTTGCAGAACTACCACAACCATCATGAAAGAGATACAAGAATTCATAAACGATTGTATACATAAGATACTGAATGCCCATTGACCGGATACCATCAGCAACAGACTACTATGTGAGAGAACAAACCAGCTTCCAACTGATGAGGAAATTAGGAAAAGACGCTGGAAGTGGACAGGACACACATTGAAGAAATCACCAAACCGCATCAGGAGGCGGGCGCTAACTTGGAATCCTGAAAGGAAACAGAAACGAGGAAGACCACGGAACATATTGCGTCGGAATTGAAAGCAGACATGAAAGGGATGGATAGAAAGTGGAAAGGATTGAGCTGGACAGAGTCTGATGGAGAATGCTGGTGTGCGATATATGTTCGTCTGCAAGGGGTGGCACATGTTTGTATGGAGGTAAGCTAAAATCAAATATTCTTAGATTTCTCTTGCTATCAACTTGTAAGACAGGAATACTTCAGGCTAAAAGCTCTGTGACTAAACATATGTGCCGAAATGAGTTCTTCAACTTATTACGTAGAAATATATTAATTTAAATAATACCACCCATAAAACCAGCCGTCGCCATAAGAAAATTCCCATAACAGTGCAGGAATATAGAGGGGTATGTAATGATGTTGTACATAGCCCACATATCTCTTCAGTCTTACCGAACACTGATCTTTTTTAGTCTTCAAATGTACTTGAAATACCCTCACCTCAGGCTTGTGAAAGGTAAAGTTCGTGAACATTTGGAATTCACAAAAAGTAGGTTGCTTATCTGGATAGTTACTTAATTTACTTTGTGACAACTAAAGAAGATATCTCCAAATGCTTCCTCAACCACCTTTTTCAAAAATAATCACTGATTTATTTTTTCGTCCTTCAATAATAAATACAGAAGTTCCCTAGACTGTTAGTAAGTCCTATAATATGTATTTCTTTAAAGATTCTGTTCCCTTCTCAAAGTATTCCCTGACTCGTTTTTCAAAATTCCGCCGAATTATTCAATCTTGGAAAGAATGTTTTGATGAAGGATCAGTTCATGAATTATCTTCATCCTTATCCAACAATCACGCATTTTCAACCGGTAACAGATCTTAAGGAACTGTTTGCTCGCTAATAACTGTCAGACAATGATAGTCATGGCCATTGGATTTCGAACAATTTGAGGTTTAATCAGAGCGGCTCATATATTTCTAAAGGTTTTCGGTGAGTTGAACTATTAGATCCTGGTTTTGACCCCATTGTTATCATAATCTGGGGTTTTGTTATTGATGATTGTTGTCTATTGATTTTCCCAATAAATTTAACTGCATTGTGTGCTGTAGCTGGGTTGTCGACTTACTTTCTCTTTTGTTTTCTTTCCCATCATTCCTCAGGCAACTCTGCATGCTTCCCTAGTTCTCATTAGTACCTGGCTAGACGTGATTCGCTACAGGGTCAATGGGGATACTTGATAAAATCGCCGATATTGAGAATGAAATCGCAAGAACGCAGAAAAATAAAGGTTTTTATCGCCTTGTGTTATATTATCATTCTTAAAAAGCGACGGAGTATCATCTCGGTTTACTGAAAGCTAAGCTCGCCAAGTACCGTTCTCAACTACTGGAGACACAAAACAAAGCTACCAAGGTATGTCCATTCATCGTGCTTACTCTGTAAGGGTGAAGGATTTGATGTTATGAAATCAGGCGATGCTCGGGTATCACTAATTGGCTTTCCGTCCGTCGGGAAGGTTTGATATTTTTATATTCAGTTGCTGATTTCCTTGTTCTCCTAGTCCACTCTCCTAAATTCTTTGACTTCTACACACAGTGAATGTGCATCATATGAGTTCACAACTTTGACATGCATACCGGGTGTTATTGAGGTATCTCACATGATTAATAGTACATCATTTTCAAGTATAAAGGCGCTAACATCCAGTTATTGGATCTTCCAGGGATAATAGAAGGGGCGTCACAAGGTTAGCTACGTATATGTTTCGTTTTTTTGGCCGTTTACACGGGTCTCAGTTTCCTTTATCTTCATGTCGTATATCTGGTGATATATTTTTGTATTCATAGTTGGTACCGCTAGCTATGAAAGGTCGTCATCCGAACTTCTCTTATTTGTATGACTTTTGTTCCAGGAAAAGGGCGGGGGCGCCAGGTGATTGCTGTTGCCCGAACGGCTGACCTCGTACTTATGATGCTTGATGCCACCAAGCCGGATGTCCACCGGTAAGTATTTCAAGAGTTACCCAAATAGAGATTACAGTCATAGTGTAGTGAAGGAGAACACATAATAGATTTTAGCACCAGAGAACTAGCAAAATGCTTAAAATTCTGACTAACATTTATGAGGGCCTTAACCAAAGTACTCGTCGTTTTTTCATCATACATGTCTGTAGCCACGAACTCCACAAGTAAGCACCACATATCTGTGTAGTTGTTCACAGCTTTTAGTGAAGATTTTCTAAATTTCATATCACAAATCGGGAGAGGATGTTGTTCAGCACAAAAAAGTTTCAGATCTCAATTTTCATTATAACCACTCGGCTTAAACTGTTGTTTCTCAAGTAGAGACCCGTCACCTTTAAATTCACTAGTTGCCGTTTCAAATAGGTTGGTAGTATAAACCAACCGTAAGTTATCAATTCATACTTAGTTTTTTTCAGAACCCATCTCATGTTTTCACTAAAGGGGTTTATTTTCTAAATTCGATTTCAGAAAGTTACTTGAAAACGAACTAGAAGCTGTGGGTATTCGATTGAATAAAAACAAACCAAATATTTATTTCAAGGTAATTTTAAATTTGATCACTGTTCTAAGCTCCCTAATTTTCACGGTCCGTCATAAGAAATAACTGAACCCGTGGTTCAGTTTTATAAGTACTTGACGATGAACTCCCACAATTGAGTTATATCTCGTCTCCCTGTGACAGCTGGGTGGTTTCATTTGTCAGTGACTTGGATTCGACCAAGCATTCACATAAAAATTCATGAATTATCTTATTAGAGCCAGCGATATTACATTGCTCTGACTTCGGAAAACAAAACAGGACTCGAATACTACCACAGCTTCATGTTTTTTGACAAGCTTTGACATAAAGTCTGATCACTTTCTTCGTATTGATAAATCATCTTAATTCCCGGTCTATCGAGAAGATTGTTGCGGTAAGAGTTGTCAAATACTAACTTTAACATTCAAATAGGCGAGGAACACGATTAACTAAATCACGACTTCTTCAACGTTGGAGATAGCTAACAGTCGTATAATGTAGCTTCGATGTTAATTTTTTCTTTTCCTCCAAGCATATTTGTTCTTTGCCACAGTACATCATTACTGATGGCCTCTGTTCAATGGGGAGTAAACAGCTTTGTTTGACACCGGTTGTTACTTAAAGTGAAAATGTAGGCTGCTGTTCATTCACGGCTTTGCAATGCGGTCCTTCGTAAGAGTTCTGTATAATAGTGATCTTACCAGGTGATTCACGTCTCATATCTCCTTCTCTTTCAGCGTTTTCCGCTGTTATTGCTAGGTCTTCCACGTGTTTCTGCTTGCCAGCCCTAATGCTTCTCTTCACTTGCTTGTTTGCTTCTGTATGTTCAGCTTGTGCCTTGACTTTCTCTGTTCCTGTTCGGCTGATGTTGATTGTTGTCTTGTCATTCTTTTCTTGAATGCTACTCAGGGTTTCGATGGAGATCCATTCCTTATGATGATGCTTCCTGTGGCCCTGAACCTCCTAGCACGTCGAGACTATTGTTTCTTAAATCCCTCTCCAGTTGTCCTCCATATTTCGTAGTTTCTTTTTCTTTGTGTAGATCTTGTAAAGTTTGGAACCTGTTGCTGAGAGCTATCATGAATTCGTTGAGTTTGTTAGTATCTCAAAGGAAGGCTTTATTAAACCTTTGTAGTGGTCTTTCTCCAGTTGTCCAGTTCTTCTTCAGTTTCAGTTTAATTTTGGCAACCAGCAGATACTTATATGAACCTAAGCCAGCTTATATTTATGTTCTCATGACTTTCACGGGTCTTCTGAATTTTTTCGTGATGCAATATGATCGACCTCGTACTATTTAGTGTGATCTGCAGAGACACATGTAGCTTTGTGTATGCGTTTGTGGGGGAATATAGTGCATCCTATAACTATTTTGTTGAATGCACGTAAATTTGCAAATCTCTCGCTATTCTTGTTCCTTTCCTTCAGTCCATGTTGTCCCATGATATCTTCATACTCGATGTTGTCCATTCCGGTCTTGGCGTTTAGTTCTCCTATAAGGATGGTCAGGTCCTTTTCTGGGCACTTATCTACGACCGATTGCAGCCTCTCATTGTACTGATCTTTATTGTCTCCACTATTATCACTGGTGTGGGTGTGGGACTGAATATCGTTCACTGTAATCCCTTCGTTTTGAAGGATGTTTTAATGCTCCCGGATGCATTAGATTCTCATTTTGTAGGCGCTTCTTTGCTTCTCTGGACAGTCTCACCAGATCTCCTTGTTTGTATGAAGAGGGGACGTTTTCCTTTTCATGATGAGAGTACAAAAACACCGGCCTTATGATTTCCGAAGAACCTCAGCTTTCACCATGAGATTTCACAACTCTTACTTAATGGTTTTCTATTCCCAGTACAGTTTAAATGATCTTTTCTAGTCGTCATTGTTTAGCTAGGTCTTTTCTACTCCATGTGGTTTCTAGCCTTATGTCCAACCATCCTTTTTTTACCCGGGATCGAGACCGGTTGTCATCATCAAAAGGCTCCAGGCGGAGTTTGAAATTTGTTTAAATATTAGGACAAAATGAAAAAGACTAAACGAATATTCTTTGGAGTCATGTCTGACAGATTGAGCTGTCCTGTTCAATAACATTTAGGTTCATAATGCTTACATACTGAAAATCTGCGATCGTTTAAACGACCGTGAATTTAATATTTGTATCTCATTATCCGAATGGTTATCGTCTACGGCAGTAGTCGCTGAACTGGATTTGTATTGATCCACCAAATGAGGAGGAAGTCCGCAAGGAACTCCAACTCTTGAAGCGTTACAAATCACCTGGCCCAGATGACTTACCTCCGGCTCTTTTTAAAGATGGTGGTGACTTTCTGACTAAGGAATTGACGACGTTGTTTACAAAGGTCTGGTAACTAGAGAGTGTACCAACGTCATGGAATGAGTCAATAGTTGTCCCTATCTTTAAAAGGGTTCACATCGTTCCTGTAACAACTATCGGGGGATAAGTCTACTTCCGATTGCGTCCAAGCTATTGGCTTCCGTCATACTTCGTAGGTTGTTCAAAACCCGAGAAAGATTGACTCGCGAGGAGCAGGCTGGGTTTCGTTCTGGTCGAGGATGTATTGATCATATCTTCACCCTCCGCCAAATGTTAGAACACCGCCATACTTTTCAAAGGCCAACAATCGTAGTGTTTCTTGACATCAGGGCTGCCTTCGATTCGTTGGACAGGACTGTTCTCTGGGATTGTCTATTGAAGAAGGGTGTGCCTGAGAAGTTTATTAACATCCTAAAAGCCCTATATAAAACACCTCAGGCAGAGTGAGGGCATACAACCACCTCTCTCCATTGTTCCATTCGAGCAGTGGGGTTAGGCAGGGTTGCCCAATCTCACCATTCCTCTTCAACTTTGCCATCGATGACATTCTGGAAACAGCTCTCATGGATGTAATTAGTGGTGGTGTGGATCTGTTGCCTGGAGAAAGACTTCTCGACCTTGAGTATGCGGACGATATTGTCTTACTGTGCGATAATGCCCAAGGCATGCAATCCGCACTTAATCAGTTGGCAATCAGTGTCCGTAGGTATGGTATGTGCTTTGCACCTTCGAAGTGCAAAGTACTTCTACAAGACTGGCAGGATTCTAATCCTGTACTCACCCTGGATGGTGAGCAGATAGACGTAGTTGAGAAGTTCGTGTATCTGGGTAGCTGCATAAGTGCTGGTGGGGGTGTGAGTGATGAGATCAATGCACGAATAGTGAAAGCCAGAGCGGCTTATGCCAATCTGGGCCACCTTTGGCGCCTTCGTGATGTTAGTCTGGCTGTAAAAGGTCGGATCTACAACGCGTCGGTGAGAGCAGTTTTGCTCTATGCTTGTGAAACCTGGCCTCTCCGAGTTGAGGACGTTAGACGACTCTCTGTGTTCGATCATCGCTGTCTCCGAAGGATTGCTGACATTCAGTGGCAACACCATGTCAGTAATGCAGAGGTTCGGCATCGTGTGTTCGGGCACAGAGATGATAATTCAATTGGTGTCACCATCTTGAAACACCGACTTCGGTGGCTTGGACATGTTCTACGAATGTCGTCCCAGAGAATTCCACGTCGTGCATTATTTGCCGACTCTGGGACTGGTTGGAAGAAGCGGAGAGGTGGTCAGTGCATGACATGGTGTCGTGGCATGAAAGAAAGCTGCAAAGGACTGGCTTCTGTTGGTCCTTCACGACTCCCTGGTTGGGGTCCGAGAGATGGTGCTACACAGTGGCTAGAGACGTTATCAGATATGGCTCAGAATAGAAGCCAGTGGCGATCCTGCTGTAACCTTCTTTTACTTTCTTCATAAAAAGTGGTTGTGTCTCCTTTACCTGAAAGATTTCTTCTGATTGTACCTTTTCGTTCCGTCGTTACTACCACACTACCTTACTCCAATCTCTTCGTCATTGTTCTCTTTTTCTTTTGCGCTCCTTAGTTTTTTTTCTACTTCGAATTCTCATTGTTTTGTGTGGCGCATATATATTGGCGCTCTCTTGTACCAATATTCATGTGTTCAAATAAATAAATAATAAATAGTATTGAGAACACTAATACTGACCGGTGTTCAACTTCATCCCTCTGATAAGCTTCAATTCATAGAAAGGTCCATCATAGAAGCCTTCGTTAGTCAACAAATAAATAACACTAAGTGACATGTCGTTTGCGTTTTATAGATTACTTTCTTAGTGAGATGTATCTTTGTCAAATGATTCCTCACCATCATATTTGATTATGGCTTAAGAATTACTCCTAATCGGTGACTCAAAGTAAAACCCTGGTTATCACTTGGATCCTTTGCAATAGGTGTGCGTTAAACATTGATCGGACTGACATGAATATTAAGCCGGACGCAGACGTGTGTTGGGCCAAGTCTTTACATCTAGGTATCACAGTCAGATGAAAAATGGCAAAAGAAAGCGACATAATGTCTTGGAAACAATAGTATGAAAAATCAGACCGTAGGATATCATTTCTAAAGAAGTGGGGAGGTATGTATAAAAGAATATTGGAATTTAAAGTTAAACGAAAGTGAAAGAGTCAATATATCTGGACTTCTGTATGCGATTCTGACTTATGTTACCCATGGCCTTCAACCACTTGTCGCAGTTGTCATGTAAACCTACCTAGTAGTCTCCATTTTTTTTTACCTAGTTTTGACCAAAAATCGGTGTCTTCATCGTCTGAAGAAACCTTTCAGTTTGGCTAGCGCTAGCTCTCTTCCAGCATACTGAACATGCAAGCATTGCTCTTGAAGTTAGACGATGATTAGATATGCGTAATACGTTTATCAATCACCTCAGTTGATAAAGACCCGATACCTTTTTCACATACCTCATGCCTAACCTCAATAGTGCTCACGCGGCTATTCCAAGAAACTGGTACAAAGTTCCAAGAACACCTGTGATTAGAAACCTTTAGCCTACCCATTTCTTTTACTTTCATAGACCACGTTTCACACCTATAACGCAGGACAGAGCAGACTGTTGCACAGTATACACGCCTGCTGATAAAGAGACGAACCTCTTGTCTACGTCAAAAGTGAAGCTAGTTTTTAAGTATCAACTACCAAAAATTGGTACGTAATATTGTATTCAGTATATTCGTTGTCTGAAATAAATTAGATGTTAATGTTTTCATGGGTTCATTTTTCTCCAGTTGTTTGTGTCTTTATTGTTATGCCATGCTGATATGGATCGTGTTATTTACTTGTACTATCTAGCAAAAGAAGACAGGTGGATTAAAAATCACATCAATGGTTCCCTTAACAAAGATAAACGAGAAAATGACTCAAATGATACTACAGGAATATAGTATCCTTTTTTAGTCAATATTTTCACTTTTTTACTTCTTTTGACTTCATTATATAACCGCTAATATATAAAATTGTATTGTTGAACAGTTTTAATTAGGAAAAAGTTGTGTTGTCTATCCCTTTCACATCCACGGCAAAAGGAGTCACAAAATTAATAATTTTTCTCATAGCTGTACGACTATTTTTCTGGTCGTTTGCAATGTGACACTATTTGGTCTGTAAAATGAATTCAATAACTGCGAGAACATCTCTCCTTTTTTATGAAAAATTTGAATTACCTAAGTAACTCCCAGATGAATTAGAATTTTATTTGGCAACATTGTCAGATTAATTAAGACACTCTTAGCTTTGTACTTCAATTTAGAATACCTATATTATCCACTAGCTCATCATATATAGATCTATCATGAGAACTTTACCTCATAAATAATTTGCCTTGAACAACTTCAAGTTCGCTCATCTAAAGTGTAGAATAAACACAGAGTTCATGATTATTCAGTTCAAGTAAGTTTAAAACAAGAAGGCTTATTGTGGTATTCGGACATTTAGAAAATAGGTAATGCAAACGTTCGAGCAGGTCTCCAATCATAATCAAAGTCATTAAGGAAAATTAAGTTGTATATTACATTTACGATCCCCATAAATATCTAGTATGATCCGTTTTTGTATTTCTGTTCACCTCAACTTCGTGTTGCCCATTATGTAGAAATATTTAATGCAGAAGTCATCTTTCGAGAAGATTCTACACCGGATGAATTTATTGATGTAGTAGTTGGCGGTCGAGTATATCTGGCTTGTCTTTACGTATTTCGGTTTCATTTCTTAAAAAAATTCTGGATTTAGGTGTATAATAAAATTGACCAAATATCACTTCAAGAAGTTGACAGATTAGCAAGACAGCCTCATTCAGTTGTTGTTAGGTTAGTTTAAACCTTTTTTAAAGGATTGTTGCTTATGCACGAGTCAATACTTCGTATTATTTTTCTCCAGAGTTTCCCTGCTATCTTTTAATGGGGCAGCTCGATCTGTTTTAGTAGTATATTTGATCTCATACTGTTCTAGTTGGTTTGTGAAATTTACGGTAAAGTTACTGTTCATTTCACTTGGTGTTGTTTTACTTGTATCTTCCAATTGTTATTTAGGACTGCGGTTGACAAGTCTCATGTTGGCATATGTGCATCTTGTGCGGATCACTTCGATATAGCCTTAAGTCACATGCTTTTTAAGCAGAGATGGATAGTGCAGTCCTAAATAACAATAGGAAGATACGAGGAAAACAACACCAAGTGAATTTAAACTTCACCCCATTGTATAAGCAGGTGGCTATCACGACTCAGTAGCTAAGTGGATAACGCGATGGCGTTTGAAGCGAACGGTACGGGGTTCGATTACTGGAGTGAACATCAACTCTGCGATGCACGTACATCCAGATGACGAGTCCCAAATAGCACGATACGCGCGTCCTGGATTCCACTGCTGGCCACTATCCATCTTTACTGTTCACTTGTTTTTCACCTTTATATATCAATAAAGTGTCCTGTCTATCTCTTATTGTTGAGTAACGATCGTGAGTCTGCTGCTTGCTTGTTTAGACTGCATAAAATTTAATAAATGCTTATTTTATATATGGTTTAAAAACATATAACTAATAATAACCTAGGATATTTGAAGTTCCTCGCCTAGCTCATGTGAGTTGTTAGTTTTTTAGTTTAGTCACTTTAAGAACTTGCTTCACCTCACATCTGCCCCAACTGTCATCGCATGACAACACATATATTGATCATGTATGCTTCTAACCACTTCAGTTTTCACAAGTTCAGTTTCATAGATAAAAATACTCATCCAAAACTTCTGCTTGATGTTTTACCGCTTATTAAGCAGTACTTTTGAGATGACCCATATAAAGATTTTTCAGCCCTTTGATTTTACCAACCTTCGCTAAGCATATAACATAAGAGTTTAATACTATATATATTATAGAACAGTTGTGTTCATGCATATGTACAATGTATTTCTGTTACCAAATACATTACTACATTACTTTCTTTTTTTTTACCCAGTTGCAATCTAAAACTGAATTTGGATTACCTGCTAGAAAAACTTTGGGACTATTTAAATTTAATTCAAGTATTCACTAAAAAACGTGGACGTAAGAATTAATTAATGATTTCTGACTTCACTTAATTTAATTCATTAGAAAAACCAGATCTTGATGAAGGAATTATTTTACGAAACGGTTCAACAGTTGAACACATTGTAAGTTTCATTGTATTGTTTCCTGATAAAACTGGTGGTGGAGTTACTTTTCGAGTCTTTTGATATGCTCGAGGGATCTTCGTGATTAATGTTCGTTGAATGTTATATCTGATAAATCACTAAACTTTGGCATTTGACAGTTTTTTCGACTCAGTGGAACTGTCTAGCATTCAAATGTCTAATTTTGGTTATAATGCAACGACTTACACTTAAAGTATAACCAAATATTATTGACCCCAATCATCCATCACATTTTTCTGACAAATCAAGCCAACTCTTTCAAATACCTACATTCCAATAAGAGTATAGGCTTATTAGTTGTAGTGAATACCATAGGAGGTAACAGTTCATGAGTCTTGTTCACTTCATTTATTCTGTAAGTCTCATCATTCCTGAAGAATTATATGCTAATGAAATACATATATAGATGCAAGAACTTGCGTAACTTGTTAAGTGTTCCCATATCTGAAAGCTTGTATGGTGATCAGTTGTTCTCACTGTATTACTCAACGTCTGCAAAACATAAATGTGAGGTTTGAACACATACGTAGGTTGCAAGTGTTTAGTCGTAGGTGCCTTAAAAGTTTATTGGCATATGGTTTCATTAAAGAGCAAGTATAAGTATTGTCAAAGTTAGACTCAGAACACAATAGCAAATGGTAGTTTATTGTTGAAACCATAAGCTCTCATGTCATTAGATGGCTGTTTCATTTTTTATACATATCTGGTCACTACCTACATCGATGCATAATTCTAACCGGTGTATAAATAATTTTAAAGACCTGTTTATAAAGTCACTGACCTTTTGTTTCAGTTGAGTTGCAAGATGTAGACTTCTTAATTGGGGTCCACCTAAAAGTCGTCATCTATATTTGAAGACGCTTACTAACATATATTGAAATTAGGCACATTAATCTTTAACCTTTGAGCTTACCACTGTAAGTAAATCTTCATTCCTCTATCTTAGTCCCTTTTAAACTAGATTTTAATGCTTAGTTTTCCAACGCAATTAATATAATTGATTCCGCTCTTTTGGTTTTCATCTTGTAAATTCCCTTTGTCAATGTTTTGTTTTGAAGTGTAGTCACATGAACTAAACCACATTTGTCCCAATCCCTCCACACTCTAACTGGTTAGTGTGAAAAATAATAATATACATTAAACCTTGTCATATTTTGTTGCCGAGTGTGTTCAATTTAATTGTTTTCATAAGCAGTTCATCATAAATTTTTCTTCATCCTACGATCTTTTTCTCTTTTTCATCTAGTGCCATTCAATTCACAGATCTTTAGCATCACAGTGTAAATGTGCTCTTGTGTGGGTAAGAATAGTCAAAATTCCAGTGTTTACTTTGTCATTTATTGAGTGGATAAATTCACATATTTTATTTGTCATAAAAAACCAATTCTTTATTAGTCATTTATTCTCAATGGTATATAATAGCCGAAATTTAAGAAGCCTAAATTGTCTTAAAGTTTTTTGAAAATGTTTGTAGCTCAACCTGTAAATATTTGTTTCTGTCAAATAAAATAACATGAACTGTACTGAAGAGTTTCACTCCAAACACGTAAAACCGGTGATAATGAAAACGAAATACATGAATAAAATAATTAATTATTTAGAATCTAAGGAAAGGTTTAATGCATCACTATGCGTGGTAATTTGTTGACTACATCTAGAGACAAACTGTAGATTTAACACTTCGATGAACCGGACAAATTCGTGAGCAAAGAAAACTAAAGTTAATATAAAAAAAGCTTATATAAAAAAGTACATCACTCCGTTAAACTAATTTTTTCCCTCTTTACATTTTTAAGGGAACAAGTGTTAAATTCAGTCCACAACATGTTGGATTGAATCACGTCTTACATCATCACGATGTTGTGCAAATTGTAAAGAAATAATGATTCAGTGGATTAATATTTCAGTATGTTATTGCAAATTGAATTCTCCATGTCTTTCTTTATTGATGAATATATTGAATTTTTGGATGCTATGTAGTTTTACTATTATCATAAGAGGGGACACTTTGGATGGACGACATTGACCTATTTCTGTATTGAATAAATCTTACCAGTTACATTGTAGTTCATAAGTTCGGATATCCCTCGGTTTATAATCGTTTAAGTTGTTCACAACCTATAAGTTGTAAGTTGCATTTTTTTCCTTCACTGTCTATACATAGAACGAAAACTAATCCATAACTTCAAATCAAGCTAGTTTATAAGGACCAATACTCTGTAAACTTTTTACAGAACATTTACATATATTTTGCTTCTAAAATAGGTCTAGATTCTGTTATTCTCAACATGTTATTTAGTGATACTTCTTTGATTGTTTATTTGAAAGTTGTCTAGCTAACATCACTACAGTATATCACGTAAGCCAGTTGGTGCGCATTTGGTGTTTGTTAAGTTACTCAGTTTGTATGGCATAAGCTACCAAATTAATGTCTAAATTCAACGGCAACTTGCTATGCTTGTAATAACTTCTAACCATCAAATAGGACTTGATTTTGTTTTCATATCTGGTCAACCTCTCGATCTTAATTACTGTGGTTATTAGCCGAATTAGCAACAGTTTCTCGAGAACCACAAATAAAAATCGTGAAAAAACATTAGGTGTGTCTTTCTTTCAGTGGAATGATACTTCATATTATCTCATCGGTTTACTCTTCCTATGAATGGTGAGTCACAGTCCAACTGTTGTTGTTCTTGCACAATTTGAAGTACACATATATAATGTTTAAATCAGTTTTAGATTACAAAGTGATGATGATTAATCAAGTCATAGTACTGAGTTCAAATCAATTCCTCCATATTTCCCTATGCGTTTATATTTAGTTCAAACTCAGTATGATGGCCTGTTTTTATAAGCCTAGTTAATTACTTTCATGTTCGTTCGTAGAAAACTACTCCATTTGACGACGTACTACTTTAGTATCAACGAGTAAATTCCACTCACTCTGAAGATATTTCTAGCTGACCATAGGTAGTTGACTTGATAGAGTATTGTGATTGTTTATTATGAACTGGCATGGCAAACTAGTTTAATCTAGAACTGTTCGAATTCGGCCGTGTAGAATTTCTTGTTTTTCTGATATCATATGTGAAAGTATATAGCATTTACCGCTGTCATGTTCACTACTGTCTTACCAGTTACATAAACTTATTCTCAATGCTCGAGTATCAATCTGTTAGTCTACTAACAGACTATTATTTGTGTGACGCGTCAAAATGATTGTCACTGTCGTGAAGTTAATGGCATTGTCCAATCTTGCGTTTTATTACCAACAAATTTATGGTGACCCTATAGATTATCTAATAAATTTCGGAACATTAGCTAGATTGGCTGCGAAACCATTACGTCAAGCTGCCAAGTATCACTGCCTTCGAAATTTCCGGACCGAATAGCCACTCCGAGTTTACCCTATTTATTGTCCATTATTTTGATAAAATGGCACGTCTTGATATTAATAAAATGACTGAAATCCAGATAGCGTCCTGTGAACTTCGTCTAGTCGATTAAAGTAGTCTGAGGAAGCTCGGCAGATGTTTTTAGTACGGTGGTTAAGATCAGAATAGATATTGCGCATGCAAATAATAACCGAAGTAAGAGCGACCAAACTGGTTACAAGTCAACGCCTTGACGAACAAAGACAGGCTTATGGAAACTTAGCACAAGTAGTATGTCTAGGCTCTTATTATAACGGTTGATTTTCCAACGTTCACACGTATGGAACGTTAATTTACCTTAGACGAATATCTACACTAGATTCCCTCCCAGTGTCTATTCCACAGGACTTCAACACAACTCAGATCAAGAACACGTGATTAGCCCGACCATAACGTAAATATATTTCCACATCAAAACCCGACACAATCCAACGACAATGAAAAATCAATGATAATTGTCATAAGGATAGGGGAATATATAACTCATCTGACACCTGTCAGACTATCTACATATCTGATTAAGCAGGCAACCAATTACACTCCCCACACATCACCTCCCTCGCTATGTTTGGTCGTATGACTTCACTTTAGGGTCTATTTGAGAAAATCTCGTTCCCTTGATGATATTCGGCTAGCTTCTGATTTCAATTCTTTCTTTCTCGTTTCAGCTTGTGGTGGAGGTGGGATATTAAATGTATCACATAATACTTCCATTGGTAACGTTTTGGGTTTAGATGACTCATAAATATTTTTCCTATCTCGCAGTTGATTGGTGTGTCCGATAATTAGTGTATTTTCGACCATTACTTCATACAATACCGTCCCACGTCTTTTTATAATATATCCATTTTAACTACGCCTGGAGTCCCTACGGGGCTACTGCCGGTCCCAAGCTCGGATAGAGGAGGAGGGTTGGGCATGGGGTTAGCGTCCTCATCCCGTAGAAAACTAGCTCGCTAAAAAACGCTTACCAGAAAAAATTATTCAAACCTTTTAAACTCTGAGCTGGGAGTCAGAAAGTCTTCTTTTAGAAGAACTATGACGCCTCATGATGAAAGCCGAATTCCTTCGGAAGTTACGAGGCCGATGCCTCTTCTGACAATCAGAACAACCATTTATTTAGGTACATGGAATGTTCGTACAATGTGGGACACCGGGAGAGCCTTCCAAATTGCTGCAGAAATGAGAATATACAACCTAGAGGTATTTGGGATCAGTAAAGCACATTGGACGTAAGTTGGACAACAACGCCTTTCATGATCTACTCAATGGAGAAGGAACTACTGTGGAGAGCAACTGGAAGGGGATCAAAGAGGCAATCACTTCAACATGTCATGAGGTCCTGGATCACAAGAAGCACCACCACAAGGAATGGATCACTGTTGATACACCGGATAGGATTCAAGAAAGGAGGAACAAGAAGGCAGCAATCAATACCAGTCGAACAAGAGCAGAAAAAGCCAAGGCACAAGCTGAATACACAGAAGTAAACAAACAAGTGAAGAGGAGCATCAGAACCAACAAACGTAAATATGTGGAAGATTTAGCAATGACGGCGGAAAAGGCTGCAAGAGAAGGAAACATGAGACAATTGTATGACACGACAAAGAAACTCTCTGGAAATCGCCGCAAACCAGAACGACCAGTGAAAAGCAAGGAAGGCGAGGTAATCACCAACATTGAAGAGCAACAAAACAGGTGGGTAGAACACTTCAAAGAACACTTGAATCGACCAGCTCCACTGAACCCACCCAATATCGAAGCAGCATCAACGGACCTCCCAATCAATGTTGGCCAACCAACAATTGAAGAAATCAGCATGGCCATCAGACAAATCAAGAGTGGCAAAGCAGCGGGACCAGACACCATTCCAGCAGAGGCACTAAAAGCAGACGTAGCGACAACTGCAAGGATACTCCACATTCTCTTCAATAAGATTTGGGATGAGGAACAAGTACCAACAGACTGGAAAGGACTCTGATCAAAATACCGAAGAAGGCGATCTCAGCAAGTGTGATAACTACAGGGGCATCACTCTTCTCTCAATACCGGGAAAAGTCTTCAACAGGGTATTGTTAAACAGGATGAAGGACCGCGTAGATGCCCAACTTCGTGACCAACAGGCAGGATTCCGTAAGGATAGATCGTGTACAGACCAAATCGCAACTCTACGGATCATTGTGGAACAATCAATTGAATGGAATTCATCACTCTACATCAACTTCATTGACTACGAAAAGGCATTTGATAGCGTGGAGAGAACAACACTATGGAAACTTCTTCGACACTACGGCGTGCCTCAGAAGATAGTCAATATCATACAGAATTCCTATGATGGATTAAACTGCAAAATCGTGCATGGAGGACAGTTGACAAAGTCGTTCGAAGTGAAGACCGGTGTTAGGCAAGGTTGCTTACTCTCACCCTTTCTCTTTCTCCTGGTGATCGACTGGATCATGAAGACGTCAACGTCTGAAGGGAAGCACGGGATACAATGGACATCTAGGATGCAGTTGGACGATCTGGCCCTTCTATCCCAAACGCAACAACAAATGCAGGAGAAGACGAACAGTGTGGCAGCAGCAGTAGGTCTCAATATACACAAAGGGAAAAGCAGGATTCTCCGATACAACACAGAATGCACCAATCCAATCACAATTGACGGAGAAGATTTGGAAGATGTAAAAACCTTTACGTATTTGGGCAGCATCATTGATGAACAGGGTGGATCTGATGCAGATGTGAAGGCGCGGATCGGCAAAGCAAGAGCAGCATATTTACAACTGAGGAACATCTGGAACTCAAAGCAACTGTCAACCAACACCAAGGTCAGGATTTTCAATACAAATGTCAAGACAGTTCTACTGTATGGGACGGAAACCTGGAGAACTACGAAAGCCATCATCCAGAAAATACAGGTGTTTATTAACAGTTGTCTACGCAAAATACTTCAGATCCGTTGGCCGGACACTATTAGCAACAACGTACTGTGGGAGAGAACAAACCAGATCCCAGCGGAGGAAGAAGCGCTGGAAGTGGATAGGACACACATTGAGGAAAGCACCCAACTGCGTCACAAGACAAGCCCTCACATGGAATCCTCAAGGCCAAAGGAAAAGAGGAAGACCAAAGAACACATTACGCCGAGAAATGGAAATAGACATGAAAAAAATGAACAAGAATTGGATGGAACTAGAAAAGAAGGCCCAGGACAGAGTGGGTTGGAGAATGCTGGTCGGCGGCCTATGCTCCATTGGGAGTAACAGGTCATGCATATTAATTACTGACTACTATGGTTTATTAACAATCTTTAATTGCATTTATAGACTTCAGCGAAATAAGCTTGTTAGAACACGAAGCTCTAGCAAATTTGGCCTTCGAATGACGTAATTAGATACTAACTAGCAACGTGAGCAAGGTCTGAATGGTTGTCTGGACCTGCTTCTTCATACTGTTTCTTCAACTAACGTTTTCAAATGAAATTTTTATTAAGTGAGAGACCATGATTACCAGGGTTATTACAGGAGAAAACTGAAACT